CTTTGCTCTGCTAGCTTTTAGTCGTATATGTATATTTATACAATGATCCTTATTAAGAAGGAAAGTCATGTGGCTGTGAGGTAGCCTAGTCAGCAGGGTTAGAAATTAATGCTAGCCCGAGACTAGTACAAATTGTTAGCTAGACTTGTGTAACCATGGAGTTTGACTTATCTTCATTAAGCAATATATCACGTGACATACCACAGGTCTGGGTAGTCCTGTGGGTACCCGGGTCATACCCAGGACCCACCCGACCTGAGTTACCCATCCCAGCCCTACTGTCTACAATGTAACTCACATCTCAGACAAGCAGATAGTCCTGCACCATGACTGTGGAATTTATATTTTTTAGGTATTTTTTTTTTTTACTAAAAGCCTAGGCAAGTCTAGATCAAACTAACCAAGTCTAGTTTGCTTGTTTCAACAGCAGAAGAGGAAAGGTTCTTTTGAAGATTTTTTAAAAACTTAATTAACAGACATGTTTTCATTGACTAAGTGTTATAAGTCTAACAAGCAGATGACTGGCCATGGCCGTCCATGACTGTCCATGACTGTGAGCATGTCCCTTCATAATGACCAATGAAACAGTCCTGAGTACTGCATGTTGATGATAGAATGATGCATCAAATATGATTACATATACTCAACAAAAAAGTATGGAATATTATGTTGTGACCTGTGAAGATTCGTGGTAGAATAGGTCTGCAGCTACCCATGCTTGTCGTAAAAGACGACTAATGGAATCGGGTGGTCAGGCTCACTGACTTGGTTGATGCATGTCATCGTATCCCAATTGCGTAGATCGATGCTCCTGATGACAATCACTGGATTGTCTGTTCCAGACTCGATTATTAACAGACCGTTGTCATGTGGCTGGAATATTGCAGAGTGCAGATTTAAAAAAAGAAAGACATTATTTTGTAGTGAAGACTGCGCTCAATTTCATAAAAATATCCTCAAAATAGTCATGGCACCCTAACAGGGTTTTTTTCAGTATACTTTAAAAAATGCTTCCTTACTTATCATTTCTGCAGAAGTGCATTGTTTAGACTTCGAAGTTTTTGTCTGTTGGATGTGCAGTAGCTATTCACTCTACCGGGCTCAGCTTATTGGCATGTTTGAAATGCCATCATCGATTCACCTATTTACTCTAACAGTATCACTCGGTGCCTACGTCCGATCTACACACATACCTATATATACGATCTCATTGTCTATATTTTTTTAACATCTGTTATTTGCTTTGTAAATTGCATGTTCATAATTTGCAACATCAAAATCACAAAGCAACAAAAACAACAGTTTGGAACAGAAAAAAGCTGTGTCATGACAGGTAGTCATGCGAGTGTGTAGGATTTGGACGATTATAGACAAAGGGGGATGGCATGGTGAGGCCAGTGTATTGTGGTGGTTGTAATTGTATATACTCCTACCCTGGATTGTGCCTGTACCCAGTGACCTAGTCAGTCAGGTGGGGAAGTGGGTGGGAGAGGGGGGCACCTTGCTGTACTCCATCAAGTGGGAGAGGGAGGAACCTTACAGTACTCCATTCAGGTGGAGAGGGGGGCACCTTGCAGTACTCCATTCAGAGGGAGAGGGGGTGGGAGAGGGGGGCACCTTGCTGTATTCCATCAAGTGGGAGAGGGGGGCACCTTGCAGTACTCCATCAGGAGGGAGAGGGGGTGGGAGAGGGGGGCACCTTGCAGTACTCCATCAGGAGGGAGAGAGGGTGGGAGAGGGGGGCACCTTGCAGTACTCCATCAGGAGGGAGAGGGGGTGGGAGAGGGGGGCACCTTGCTGTACTCCATCAAGTGGGAGAGGGAGGAACCTTACAGTACTCCATTCAGGGGGAGAGGGGGGCACCTTGCAGTACTCCATTCAGAGGGAGAGGGGGTGGGAGAGGGGGGCACCTTGCTGTATTCCATCAGGAGGGAGAGAGGGTGGGAGAGGGGGGCACCTTGCAGTACTCCATCAAGTGGGAGAGGGAGGAACCTTACAGTACTCCATTCAGGGGGAGAGGGGGGCACCTTGCAGTACTCCATTCAGAGGGAGAGGGGGTGGGAGAGGGGGGCACCTTGCTGTATTCCATCAAGTGGGAGAGGGGGGCACCTTGCAGTACTCCATCAGGAGGGAGAGAGGGTGGGAGAGGGGGGCACCTTGCAGTACTCCATCAGGAGGGAGAGAGGGTGGGAGAGGGGGCACCTTGCAGTACTCCATCAAGTGGGAGAGGGGGGCACCTTGCAGTACTCCATCAGGAGGGAGAGAGGGTGGGAGAGGGGGGCACCTTGCTGTATTCCATCAAGTGGGAGAGGGGGGCACCTTGCAGTACTCCATCAGGAGGGAGAGAGGGTGGGAGAGGGGGGCACCTTGCAGTACTCCATCAGGAGGGAGAGAGGGTGGGAGAGGGGGGCACCTTGCAGTACTCCATCAGGAGGGAGAGAGGGTGGGAGAGGGGGGCACCTTGCAGTACTCCATCAGGAGGGAGAGAGGGTGGGAGAGGGGGGCACCTTGCAGTACTCCATCAGGAGGGAGAGAGGGTGGGAGAGGGGGGCACCTTGCTGTATTCCATCAAGTGGGAGAGGGGGGCACCTTGCAGTACTCCATCAGGAGGGAGAGAGGGTGGGAGAGGGGGGCACCTTGCAGTACTCCATCAGGAGGGAGAGAGGGTGGGAGAGGGGGCACCTTGCAGTACTCCATCAGGAGGGAGAGGGGGGCACCTTGCAGTACTCCATCAGGAGGGAGAGGGGGTGGGAGAGGGGGGCACCTTGCAGTACTCCATCAGGAGGGAGAGAGGGTGGGAGAGGGGGGCACCTTGCAGTACTCCATCAGGAGGGAGAGAGGGTGGGAGAGGGGGGCACCTTGCAGTACTCCATCAGGAGGGAGAGAGGGTGGGAGAGGGGGGCACCTTGCAGTACTCCATCAGGAGGGAGAGGGGGTGGGAGAGGGGGGCACCTTGCAGTACTCCATCAGGAGGGAGAGAGGGTGGGAGAGGGGGGCACCTTGCAGTACTCCATCAGGAGGGAGAGAGGGTGGGAGAGGGGGGCACCTTGCAGTACTCCATCAGGAGGGAGAGAGGGTGGGAGAGGGGGGCACCTTGCAGTACTCCATCAGGAGGGAGAGAGGGTGGGAGAGGGGGGCACCTTGCAGTACTCCATCAGGAGGGAGAGAGGGTGGGAGAGGGGGGCACCTTGCTGTATTCCATCAAGTGGGAGAGGGGGGCACCTTGCAGTACTCCATCAGGAGGGAGAGAGGGTGGGAGAGGGGGGCACCTTGCAGTACTCCATCAGGAGGGAGAGAGGGTGGGAGAGGGGGCACCTTGCAGTACTCCATCAGGAGGGAGAGGGGGGCACCTTGCAGTACTCATCAGGAGGGAGAGGGGGTGGGAGAGGGGGCACCTTGCAGTACTCCATCAGGAGGGAGAGGGGGTGGGAGAGGGGGGCACCTTGCAGTACTCCATCAGGAGGGAGAGGGGGTGGGAGAGGGGGCACCTTGCAGTACTCCATCAGGAGGGAGAGGGGGTGGGAGAGGGGGCACCTTGCAGTACTCCATCAGGAGGGAGAGGGGGTGGGAGAGGGGGGCACCTTGCAGTACTCCATCAGGAGGGAGAGGGGGTGGGAGAGGGGGGCACCTTGCAGTACTCCATCAGGAGGGAGAGAGGGTGGGAGAGGGGGCACCTTGCAGTACTCTAGCATCAGGCTGAATATAAGAGGTGGTGTTTGACTCACAGGAGATTAAATGCCTGAATAATAACGTAAGAAAAGTTAGGAATTTGAGGTCCTATGATGCATGGAAGCTGTGAGAAATGGAGCCCAGGTTTAGGTTTCATCACTGCTAGTGTAGCCTATGTTGAGGTGCAGTAGCAGGTAGCAGGCCGCTGCATCGGCTTATGTATCTGACAGGTAGGGAGGGCAACTGCGACCTAGCCAGTGGTGAGATTTAAAGGGGTCATTGGGGACTCCTCCTGTAGCATTTGAATGATGGATCCTTAGCCATATTAGGATTATTACAAAGGAGCCTTTGATTCTCATTCTTTATTTTAACATTGCTCACTTAGATACTATTGTAGACAAGTAGGAATTTGCTGATTTTGCATAGTTTTCTGAAATTTTGCTAAATCGTGACAAAGTTATGTGGATTATTCTTGGGCTGTGTGGGATAATGTTATGTCGTAATGTTTTAGCACTATAAAGCCTTTACTTTAAATTACTAAATTAATTAAAATTGTCTCATTTTATTAAAATCACCAGAATTCCATGTCAACTTTAACCAAGATTTGCTGGTTACAAAATGTAACCTGGTTGAATGTGTGTCATTAAAACCTTACTCACAACTCCATCCCCTGAACACAATTAACAGACAACCCAGATTGATGAAATAATTCACTCACTCACTTTGACCTTGAAGAAAACTGCCACAATCACGACATATCCCCACCTAAGGACCTGGTGTATTAGGCAAATGCATCGGGGAAATTTTTTAAGCTGAATTGTATAACTAAAAGCGTCAAAAACATGATCTGATTTCACACTGTATGTAAGTCCATTATTAATCACACTTCAACGTGTTTAAAAGATTTAAGATATTTGACAGACATTTGAGTAGAGATTATTGAAAATTATGATAACATTTTCAAAGCCATATAGAAGTAGGTTTGACCAAGGTGTGTCCTTACCATTCATTATGCCCCTTATCCATTGAGGGTTGATTGCAGGTATAATTATGCTTACTCGATGCTATCAGTGAGCATGCCTTTATACATATACTCGTTCATGATTGTAGTCACTTTTAGGACTATTTCACAGCCAGATTCGAATCACAAGTGAAAGGCGCAGTTTGTATTTAGTAAATACTTCTCATATTTCTGAAGCAAGAGAGTTCATTGTGTTCCACTTTCATTCTTTGAAAGGGAATTTCAACAGGGAGCAAACGGTATTTCCACCCCATTCCATCCAGTGGGTTATTTTATCACGACATTCATCAGATTCTCTCTCTGTTTGCAGGTGCTAGCACATGGATGTTGCTGTCGCATGTGGCGGGTGACCTTGAGGTCATGACCTTGCACCGAGCAACCCGGTGAAGGAAATGACAGAGAAGTTTCCTACAGCGATGTGACTCCACTGATGCTAATCCTTGTGTTGTAATAACAGCTTCGCCAACACATCCCCTCCTCCTAACATGCAAGCTGGAACGTTTAGGATTCCTTGAAATATTTTCACAGATGACATTTTGAGAATATTTACAGATTCAACATTTATGTGCAATTTGTAGTGAATTAGGACTCCTTTGTTGAGGATTTGTTTGTTTTCCCTCCCATCGTGGATTATGTTGTTACGTTTTACGTCCAGTGCAATAATGGCTCTACGATGCAGTCAACGATTATACGCAAATGGCTGATCTGTGGATAATGGTGGATTCAATGCCTTTTGGTTGACGACGTCACGCAGTGGTCATGGCGAAAAAGGCAGAGGGACGCACTTTTAACATCGGCGTGATCGGATTATCTGGAACTGAACGGGAGAAGGGGCAATATGGTGTGGGCAAATCCTGTCTTTGCAATCGATTCCTGTACCAGGTTGCGGACAAGTACCACACCGAACATATCTCTGTGCTGTCGCAGAGTGACTTCGCAGGACGTGTCATCAACAATGATCACTTCCTGTACTGGGGCGAAGTCACCAAAACGGACGAGGGGAATAATTTTACTTTCAACGTGGTGGAACAGACTGAGTTTATTGATGATGTGTCGTTTCAACCATTCAAAACGGGGAGGACGGAGCCCTACACCAAAAGATGTGTTCAAACCAAAGTGCAGTCTGCAGAGAAACTGATGTATATTTGCAAGGACCAACTTGGTAAGTATCATTGTAATTTTCAGTGTGTCAACAGTCGCATCTTGCCCCCGACTGTACCTGTTGCTGTTTGACAGATAAGACTCTTCAGGCTCTTTAAATTTAAATATTGTACCTTAATCGACAGACAAATAACACAACTGCGATCTGGCCACCTATGTACACAGAAAATTGAAAGGTACACAGTGTTACATAACAGATGAGCCCGGGGTTGTATTTGTTGACTCCACACAGCAAACAGAAACGTTTATTGTGAAGAGTTGGTCCTATTGATAGATGTTGCAGCTTCAGTTAGGATATTTCTGAGCCAGGACATTGGTCTTTGTCAGGAATTGTATGTAAAAACGTTTTGGCTGACATAGAAATTTGATCCTGTGGTGAATCGGTGAACTGTATAAATAAAGAAATGCCATCTAGGCATGGGGATGATTGTGGAGGATGGAGCAGGTGAAAGGCCGGGATAAGTCTTCTGGGCAGGGTTTCACACAAACAAATTAGGATGGAAATATAAACACTAATTGTTACAAGCCAGTGCATTTTTTTGTAGGAACTAGTACAGACTGATTGAATTATGCTAATACACTTTTGATAGGGATATTTTTATCTTTCCACTATACACAAAATGATTTTCATATGTCAAGTGTATATTTCAATAGAATGACATATCTGATCATCCCTGTCAAAGATTGAGTAGTATATGCTGTTGCAAATACAACATCAAAATAGGACTAGGATAGTTTGGATAAAACTTGCACCAAGAACACATGGTTCCTGCATTGTGGGAAGCTAAATTTTCTGGACATCAATAGAGTTACCTGTGTTCGCATTACTCCAGTCATGACTGTAACAAATTAGCTCTGAAACGTCATCAGTACTGACAGAGTGAGGCCAATCTCAGATAACGTCATGTCATCAGTACTGACAGAGTGAGGCCAATCTCAGATAACGTCATGTCATCAGTACTGACAGAGTGAGGACAATCTCAGATAACGTCATATCATCAGTACTGACAGAGTGAGGCCAATCTCAGATAACTCCATGTCATTAGTATTGACGGACTGAGGCCAATCTCAGATAATGTCATGTCATCAGTACTGACAGAGTGAGGCCAATGTCAGATAAAGTCATCTCATCAGTACTGACAGAGTGAGGACAATCTCAGATAACGTCATATCATCAGTACTGACAGAGTGAGGCCAATCTCAGATAACTCCATGTCATCAGTATTGACGGACTGAGGCCAATCTCAGATAATGTCATGTCATCAGTACTGACAGAGTGAGGCCAATCTCAGATAACGTCATCTCATCAGTACTGACAGAGTTAGGCCAATCTCAGATAACGTCATCTCATCAGTACTGACAGAGTGAGGCCAATCTCAGATAACGTCATATCATCAGTACTGACAGAGTGAGGCCAATCTCAGATAACTCCATGTCATCAGTATTGACGGACTGAGGCCAATCTCAGATAATGTCATGTCATCAGTACTGACAGAGTTAGGCCAATCTCAGATAACGTCATCTCATCAGTACTGACAGAGTGAGGCCAATCTCAGATAACGTCATCTCATCAGTACTGACAGAGTGAGGACAATCTCAGATAACGTCATATCATCAGTATTGACGGACTGAGGCCAATCTCAGATAATGTCATGTCATCAGTACTGACAGAGTTAGGCCAATCTCAGATAACGTCATCTCATCAGTACTGACAGAGTGAGGCCAATCTCAGATAACGTCATCTCATCAGTACTGACAGAGTGAGGCCAATCTCAGATAACGTCATCTCATCAGTACTGACAGAGTGAGGCCAATCTCAGATAACGTCATGTCATCAGTACTGACAGAGTGAGGCCAATCTCAGATAACGTCATATCATCAGTACTGACAGAGTGAGTTCAATCTCCAATAACTCCATGTCATCAGTATTGACGGACTGAGGCCAATCTCAGATAACGTCATGTCGTCAGTATTGACAGAGTGAGGCCAATCTCAGATAATGTCATCCTTACTGTCACAAATTAGATCAGAAATTGTTACTGACGAAGTAATATTTAATTTATTTTGTGAGAATGAGATTCTGCATTCACTTTCACCCTGTTTATCTGTTCATGGATTTTGTGCATCATGAATATAGAAGGCCCAATGAGAAATGAACGAAAAGCCCTTTTTATCCAGTAGCCCAGTCCAGTGCATCCCACAATTCTTGAATTGCACGATGTGGTCGGGCTGTCTTGCTGCCGATTGGTCGTCAGGCTATGTCTTGGTGATGACTGATGTTGCTGTCACTAGTTACCTGGTCCAGACTAGATTATTTAGAATGTGCAAGCTGGAATATTGCTGACCATAAAATTATACATTCACTCACTCACTTCTACCAAAGACGGATTGATTCTGGGCCCACTTGCACAAAGCAATCATAGCGCGCCAACTACTGTAAGTGTATGTTAAAATATGGGAGGTACGATCATCAGTGTTACGACTGTCGTAAGTCTATGTGAAAGTAGTGGAGCAATGATTGTTATAGCCCTTCAACTATCATAACTCTATGTTAAAATATGGGAGGTACGATCATCGTAGTGTTACGACTGTCGTAAGTCTATGTGAAAGTAGTGGAGCAATGATGGTTATAGCGCTTCAACTATCATAACTCTATGTTAAAATATGGGAGGTACGATCATCGTAGTGTTACGACTGTCGTAGGTCTATGTGAAAGTAGGAGAGCAACAATTGTTATAGCCCTTCAACTATCATAATTCTATGTTAAAATATGGGAGGTACGATCGTCATAGTGTTAGGCTGTCGTAAGTCTATGTGAAAGTAGGGGAGCAACGATTGTTATAGCCCTTCAACTATCATAACTCTATGTTAAAATATGGGAGGTACGATCGTCATAGTGTTACGACTGTCGTAAGTCTATTTGAAAGTAGGGAAGCAGCGATTTTTATAGCGCTTCAACTATCATAATTCTATGTTAAAATATGGCAGGTACGATCATCGTAGTGTTACGACTGTCGTAAGTCTATGTGAAAGTAGGGGAGCAACGATTGTTATAGCCCTTCAACTATCATAATTCTATGTTAAAATATGGGAGGTACGATCATCTTAGTGTTACGACTGTCGTAAGTCTATGTGAAAGTAGGGAAGCAGCGATTGTTATAGCCCTTCAACTATCATAATTCTATGTTAAAATATGGGAGGTACGATCATCAGTGTTACGACTGTCGTAAGTCTATGTGAAAGTAGGGGAACAACGATTGTTATGGCGCTATGACTGTTGTAAGTCTACGTTAAAATGTGGGAGGTACGATCATAAGTGTTACGACTGTCGTAAGTCTATGTGAAAGTAGGTGAGCAACGATTGTTATGGCGCTATGACTGTTGTAAGTCTACGTTAAAATGTGGGAGGTACGATCATCAGTGTTACGACTGTCGTAAGTCTATGTGAAAGTAGGGGAGCAACGATTGTTATGGCGCTATGACTGTTGTAAGTCTACGTTAAAATGTGGGAGGTACGATCATCAGTGTTATGACTGTCGTAAGTCTATGTGAAAGTAGGGGAGCAAGGATTGTTATGGCGCTATGACTGTTGTAAGTCTACGTTAAAATGTGGGAGGTACGATCATCAGTGTTACGACTGTCGTAAGTCTATGTGAAAGTAGGGGAGCAACGATTGTTATGGCGCTATGACTGTTGTAAGTCTACGTTAAAATGTGGGAGGTACGATCATCAGTGTTATGACTGTCGTAAGTCTATGTGAAAGTAGGGGAGCAAGGATTGTTATGGCGCTATGACTGTTGTAAGTCTACGTTAAAATGTGGGAGGTACGATCATCAGTGTTACGACTGTCGTAAGTCTATGTGAAAGTAGGGGAGCAACGATTGTTATGGCGCTATGACTGTTGTAAGTCTACGTTAAAATGTGGGAGGTACGATCATCAGTGTTACGACTGTCGTAAGTCTATGTGAAAGTAGGGGAGCAACGATTGTTATGGCGCTATGACTGTTGTAAGTCTACGTTAAAATGTGGGAGGTACGATCATCAGTGTTATGACTGTCGTAAGTCTATGTGAAAGTAGGGGAGCAAGGATTGTTATGGCGCTATGACTGTTGTAAGTCTACGTTAAAATGTGGGAGGTACGATCATCAGTGTTACGACTGTCGTAAGTCTATGTGAAAGTAGGGGAGCAACGATTGTTATGGCGCTATGACTGTTGTAAGTCTACGTTAAAATGTGGGAGGTACGATCATCAGTGTTACGACTGTCGTAAGTCTATGTGAAAGTAGGGGAGCAACGATTGTTATGGCGCTATGACTGTTGTAAGTCTACGTTAAAATGTGGGAGGTACGATCATCAGTGTTATGACTGTCGTAAGTCTATGTGAAAGTAGGGGAGCAAGGATTGTTATGGCGCTATGACTGTTGTAAGTCTACGTTAAAATGTGGGAGGTCCGATCATCAGTGTTACGACTGTCGTAAGTCTATGTGAAAGTAGGGGAGCAACGATTGTTATGGCGCTATGACTGTTGTAAGTCTACGTTAAAATGTGGGAGGTACGATCATCAGTGTTACGACTGTCGTAAGTCTATGTGAAAGTAGGGGAGCAACGATTGTTATGGCTCTATGACTGTTGTAAGTCTACGTTAAAATGTGGGAGGTACGATCATCAGTGTTACGACTGTCGTAAGTCTATGTGAAAGTAGGGGAGCAAGGATTGTTATGGCGCTATGACTGTTGTAAGTCTACGTTAAAATGTGGGAGGTACGATCATCAGTGTTACGACTGTCGTAAGTCTATGTGAAAGTAGGGGAGCAACGATTGTTATGGCGCTATGACTGTTGTAAGTCTACGTTAAAATGTGGGAGGTACGATCATCAGTGTTACGACTGTCGTAAGTCTATGTGAAAGTAGGGGAGCAACGATTGTTATGGCGCTATGACTGTTGTAAGTCTACGTTAAAATGTGGGAGGTACGATCATCAGTGTGCTATGACTGTTGTAAGTTTACATGAAAGTAGGGAGCTACAATCATCATAGTGCTACAACTATTGTAAGTCAATGTTAAAGTAGGCAGCTATGATCGCTGTGTGCATGGGGACCATGTTCTTCTCCCACTCCCTGTCCCTCGCAGCCATCAGGCAACTGTCAGTCCTCTGTCTTTGCAAGGCTCGCCTGAAACTATATGCAGCATCTTCTAATGACATCATTCAAGAAACATATCAACAATATTCTCTTTGAACATGTCATTATTCCCTATTTGTGTGTTGTAGGTATGGAGTCAGACTACGAACAGAAGCTGATGCCAGAAGGGAAGTTAACCATTGACGGCTTCATCTGTTGTTTTGACGTCAGTCAGGCCCCCCAGCGGCCGGTTGACAAGCAAGTGGAATTTGTGGCAGCGTTGCTGAGCGCCGTTCTCAAAGCCAAGAAACCGCTGGTTCTTGCAACCACAAAACACGATGATGCAGAGGAACATTTTGTGGAAAAAGTGGAGAAATTACTCAACAGACGGGAGTTCAAAGGTTGCTTTCCATTGGTGGAGACATCCGCACATGACAATGTGAATACGGAGCTTGCATTTATGACTTTAGCCCACCTTATTGACAAGACTAAAGCTCGAGCCAAAGTGATTCCTTTCCATGAAGCATTGAAAGCTCGGCAAGAAATCCTCGGGGTTGCAAACAAAGCCTATCAGAACTTGCTCAAACTGCACGTCACAGATCCAGTGCTAACTTGGCAAGCGTGTCGGAAGAAGTTTGTGAACGAGCCTGACTTTGGACATTATGTTGACCTATTCGGTACGGATAAGGCGAAGAAGTTGTTCCGCAACCACGTGAAACACCTGCGGGATGAGCAGATTCAGCTGAAGGAACAGACATATTTGTCCCAGATACCCAAGATTTTAAAACACTTCCTCCCTAGTCTAGATGCAATAGGTGACAGGTCAGTAATTTTGGCTTCCTTCCGTTTTATTTGCAGGTCTCATGGTATAAGGATACAGTGACTGCACGTTTTGGCGCCCCGAGCTATTTACGGATTTTGCCTATTTTAGTTGAGTAACATTGTATCCAAATTTAAGTGCCAGGCGTTTAAATTGAAAAGGACAAAAACATGATAGGAAGGATGAATATCCCAAGTTTAATGAAATGATACTCACAAATCTAATGAGAGAGCAATACTTTAACATCAGACATGATTTTATTTTTCAACTTGAAAAACATAGTACTGCTGATTGATGATCAGAATTGAAATGACAGCTGTGAAAAAAAGTAGCAAGAAAACAATATCACAGTTATGAGTGTCTGTCATATGCATTTAAATTGTCACACTGCGTATCCAGAATATCACCTACAGTCCAGTGTTTCTTGTAAATCTGGAACCCGCTAACAGCCCTTAAGGTGTAATATTGGTGCAAATCGGCCATATTGAAGTGTGCTGCAACACATCTTGAAGAGCATCGGGGAGGGGGACCAATCAACTTATAAAAAGCGTTTCATTTTTTTCATTTTTAAGCCAATGGGCTAAATAACAAGGGGGCTTAAGGTGCAGTCCCAGTAGAACAGGTTTCTGTGTTTGTGAAACTCCGAGATTACGGGAAGAAAGGTTTCTTTGTTTGTGAAACTTGTAGAGATTCCAGGTAGAATATGTTTCCATGTTTTGTGAAATGTGGAGATTTTGGAAAGAAAAGGTCTCTATGTTTGTGAAACGTGTAGAGATTCCAGGAGAAATTGGTCTCCATATTTGTGAAACATTTAGATATTCCCGATAGAATAGGTCTTCATGCTTGCGAAACATGTAGAGATTTGAGATGGAATAGGTCTCCATGTTTGTGAAACATGTAGAGATTTGAGATGGATTAGGTCTTCATGCTTGTGAAACGTGTAGAGATTTGAGATACAATAGGTCTCCATGTTTGTGAATCGTGTAGAGATTTGAGATACAATAGGTCTCCATGTTTGTGAAACGTGTAGAGATTTGAGATACAATAGGTCTCCATGTTTGTGAATCGTGTAGAGATTTGAGATACAATAGGTCTCCATGTTTGTGAATCGTGTAGAGATTTGAGATACAATAGGTCTCCATGTTAGTGAATCATGTAGAGATTTGAGATACAATAGGTCTTCATATTTGTGAATCGTGTAGAGATTTGAGATACAATAGGTCTCCATGTTTGTGAAACATGTAAAGCTTTCACGTAGAAGAGCCTTTAGGTGTCTGTGTTTGTGAGACATTTGGATATTCTAAGGCAAGAAATTGCCCAGTACTTAATGCTCACAGTATGAGTGGGCTAGGATCAGATGGTTACAATGTATTTGGGGCAGTCGGGTAGCCTAGTGGTTAAAGCGTTCGCTCGTCATGCCGAAGACCCGGGTTCGATTCCCGACATGGGTACAATGTCTGAAGCCCATTTCTGGTGACCCCTGCCGTGATATTGCTGGAATATTGCTAAAAGCGGCGTAAAACCATACTCACTCACTCACTCACTCACTCACTCACTCACTCACTCACTCACAATGTATTCCGTGGCTTGCTCTGAGTGTCACCACACCAACATATGTCACAACCAACCTTGGACAGCAAATATAATAATAAAAACATAATATTGCTGATTCAGCATAAAACCACTTCATTCACTCACTGGATTTTGTTGTGTGAACAAGAATATCCGAGGGAATCAAATTGGATTTCACTTTCTTGTTCGGTATCAACATTGGTCTGCACTTTGATGGTTGATTAGCCTCATTTTTTAACATTCATGTTCACTTCCATAGCAGGCTATTGGAGTCAGTGAGAACTTCTCTCATTACATGGGTGATATTTCACTCCAGATAACAGTCCTGGTTATCATTCTGAATACAGTGATCCCTCACTATTGCGCTCTTCGATAAAGCGCTACCTCGGTTACTACGCGCCAATCAAATTATAGCTGTGATACCAAGCTCGTGTATGATAAATTTCAGAAGTTGGCGAAAGAATTTTTGTTAAATCGTGTTATTCTGAACGTTTTAAGCAGGAAATCACGATATATATTAAAAATATGGAACTTCGCGAATGTATCGTGCTAGGTTACGAGCTGTGACAAAGATTTTTCATGCATATATTTTTGCATTAAACGTTGTGTCCGAGCCGAGAATTCATTTCAAGGCGACGAAAGCCGAGATGTCATTTGACTTACATTACACGCGATCGCACGAAACGATGGAAATAATAACTTAGATGTAAGTTTGATTACTTTTAGATATATTTTTGTTGATTTTATTTATCACTTTGTATAATATATTTAAAGATTTGTTTAAAACGTCTTTATTTCTCTCTTTGATGTGGACCTGTTGTCGAAATGTGTGTCCAAGAATTTTATTTTCAATAACATCCCGCAAAATAGTGAATAATTTTTTAATTTATCGATAAAAAATGATAAATTGAAATGGAATACGTATTTCAGACATTGTGAAATGTGACACATTTAATAAATGAATGATATTACAGGTAGATCTAGGTCCATAAAAATATATACTATTTTGACGTGACGTGAGATAAACACATATTGATGATTTGAGATTTGCCGAGCGCGCTCCCCCGCCTCGGCCTCGGTTAAACGGCTCATCGTCTATAACGCCCACCAATTATTTGGACCCCATTGGTAGCGTTGTAGCGAGGGACCACTGTATTTCGAATCCCAGTTTGCTCTGATTACGTTTCCAGTTTTGTCAGCACCAGATCCCAGCTTGTGGGTAAAGTAGAAAACATGTAGACCTCCATCACTTCACGTTTAAATGCATCGATGTCACTGAAGTAGTGTTCACAGACGCTTTCAACAGCAGCCAACTCATTCTGCATATATGAATATAGAGAAAGAGATTTTAATGATATATTTCATCCTAATGTTAGATTTTACTAACTCATTCTGCATCACCTGTGATGGTTCTGGAGTGTTATAGGTCCTAAGCACTTCATGCATGTCTACCTGTGGGACTATTTGAGGGTAGGACCCAGTAGCTCATGTAGCAAAGGTTTCATGTGACCAGTGCTTGTTGTAAGAGCCACTTTAATGGTGATATAGTGGTTCCAATGTGATATCTAGTTAATTGTGTAAAATGCATTTACTTTGGCTCATGTTATCAACCACTTGTTTGCATGGCACAGAGTTTATGACCAGTTATTCAAAAGGTAACACCTGCAGTAAAACTAGAGGTGAGGTGAAATAGGGTTTACGTCGTGTCCAAGATTTTTGCACTTATATAGCGACGTGCTTGCACCTGTGTGTGTGTGGCTGCTTGTACTAGTCCGGAGTGATGCTGATTGATAGTGCTAGCCCACTGAGATACCATGCCACAGTTTAATATGAATATCCCGCTCAGACACAGTATACTGACTCCGAGCCAACCAGTCCTTGTTTTTGCCCCTTAATGCCTAGTGCCCTGCAGAGTTACAACAAGTACCATCTTTTAATGTTTTTTGGTATGACACAGCCGGGGATCGAACCCTGGACCTTTCGCTCTCCGGGCAAACGTTCTCCCACTAGACCACGGAAGCAGTCGTAGAACTAGAAGGTACAATACCTAAATCACTTGACGAGTTCCTCTACCCATACGCAAATACACCTGTTACTTTCATTTCCTTCTATTGAGTGTATAGTAGTGTACTGCTCAACATTTGGTAGGGATAATGAGTTATTTCATGCTGTAGATAAACTGATTATTTCTGAGTGTGAAATAAAACAACAGTCATTCCACTTCAGCTAAATGGTATGATAAATTGCCACCTATGAGCTGGAGCATCACCACTGAGTGGCTCCGATTGTAGACTGACTGTTGTCAGTGTTGTTGTTCCTTGTGGGGATTCCATGTTAGAATAGGTCCCCAGCAACCATACCTGTCATGCAAGGCGACTGAATGGTTCGGCTGATTAGGCTTTGTTTGTTGTTTAACGCCACATGATGACGGTCTGTAAATAATCAAGTCTGGACCAGACAATCCAGTCATTGTCATCAGGAGCATCAATCTACGCAATTGGGGTACGAAGACATGCATCAACTAAGTCAACGAGCCTCTTACGACAAACATCGGTTTCTGAAAACCAATTCTAACCCGGAATCTTCATGGGACTGATCAGGCTTAGTCACTGGCTTGTCTGGTCTAGGGTTGGATTATTGACATCTTGCCATCATACAACTGGAATATTGTTGAATATGACTTTAAACAACAAACAACAAATTCAGGCTGCAAACTGTCAGTGATCCTTTATTACACAGATGGTAATCGTGACCAATACTGTTGATTATCATATACCTATCAATGATATAAGGCTTTGTGCATGTGCGATAGAGCCAACATAGAGACGATCATATCACAGAGGCTGTAATAACCAGACCTGTATTACATCTTCTGCTAGGGTGATATGGCTCGTCAAGGCATTTTGAATGGATGATCACTATCAGCCCAGGTGGTAAGAAATTGGAGTTATGTCCCTTAGTGCATTGTCTGCTCGGCTAGCTTTTCCATGACAATGTCTTCCAAACAAGGTGAAAATGTATTGTATTAACTTGCAAATATCAGTGTTTACTGCATTAATCAACAGACAAACAAACAAATAGATATATTTCACAATTTGATGTTATGGTGCATGATAAAAAGGCTATTATATGGCCGTTTTCATACTACCCTGTATATCGACCCGAGACCAACATATCGGCCCTTTGGCCTTGGAACCACCAGCCGAAATGGTATGGAAATGGCATATATTATAGACCTCCAAATATTGGCCACTGCTTTGCTGTATCTTCAACTTTAATTCACTACTTGGATTGAGTTGTAATCGACTGACTGTGGCATTAAATCCAATTTTCTGTGGATTTTTTACTTGAATATTTTTAGGGAAGTGCACCTTCTGCATGTATTTGTGCCATGGCTTCTTCAACAGAAATCCTAAATAAATGTTTATGA